AAAAATTCAGCGAACTATTTGATGAACACCACGGGCCGAGTAAAAACCGAGGGCAGAGGAGGACGGCGGCGGAGGCGGTGGTGTGCCCCCCCGAGTCCGGAGCGGTGAGAAAACTAAATAGGTGGCGGCGGGTTCAATGTCTTCTTGTTTTACGTTTTATGGTGATTTTGTTTAAATTTTTGATGAAAAAAAAAAACTTTGTCCGACCTACCGACCCCATGCTGAAATTTCATGTTACCGGAAACACTGTCTTTTTTGTTTGGCCTTACCACCACGCCATTTTTTTAAATGTAGTACGTAGTGAAATCAGATGGTAAAAATTAGGATGCACTGTGCACAAGGAAACAAAAATAAGCACTTGTATTGGTTTTTAATTTTGCTTTGCTTAACTGGTAAGCATAATTTGATCTACACAACCAGAAAATGGTGTGTGTGCAGCTGAAACAGGGGGCGGTGGTCAACCTTGAAGACTCTGTTTTTAGTTTATATTGAAACAAACTATGTAGATTGTGTTTATTTGTTGCCGTCAAGATAGACAAATAGATATAAATGAGAGGCTATGTTTCATGATGGCTTTGCCGTTAATGTGGCTTTGCGGTTAATTACTCCTTGCCCACCTTTCTTGATGATAATACTTCTGAAAGCTTTTGCTTGTTTGCTGCCAGGGAGTTGAGGTTAGGTGACTTAGAGGAGGGGCTCTGCACTATGAGAAGACAGACAATGGTAGCAATCCAGCTGTTGCTCGCTGGTGTGGTAGTAGTTCCGGTGCAGTGCAAGAAAGTTGGATGAATCTACAATGTGGACGCATACATTACAATTGAACAATGCAACAACACCATTTTCCTTGCAGGAGGAATTTTGTTCAAACTGGTACACTTTTAGTGAAACTAATGAAGTCCAGATGACTTGGTGGTTTTGTGCGTCTCTGTGGATGTCACTGTGCGTTTTTTTTTTCCCCCTCAATTGCAGGTAATGTTTTCAATTAACACATAAAGGACACCAATGTTTAAGCTGCATTAACAATTACATTTCTTAGAGTTGAGTCATTTTCCTGCTGAACAATTTGTTGCACGCTGTCTGTCTTGATTTGTGTAAATTTTCTCACTGAGCAAGCAATTTATCAACGCTGCCCAGTTGATCCTGTTTGAGGTCACCAGAACGCTGCAGCTCTCTGCAGCTAATTTAGCAGGAGAGGAGCACAGGCACCCATCATCGTTTGGTCAGACATTGCCAGCGTTGTCTCTGTCATCGGGTTGAATCTATTTTCAACCTTTTGCCAGTGTCAAGCAAATCAGATCACATTTTCAGCCCTTGGCCAGCAGTTTGCCATCATGTTAACACAAGGGGCTGTCGTAATCAGTTGAATGGCCCTCATCTAATCTGATTTCTTTGCCTCATAGGTGGTCATCACCAGGCTAAAGTTGGACAAGGACCGCAAAAAGATCCTGGAGCGCAAGGCCAAATCTCGCGCTGATGGAAAGGAGAAGGGCAAATACAAGGAGGAGACCATTGAGAAGATGCAGGAGTAAACATCTTTTGCTATCAATAAATTGTATAAAATGGTGTGTCCGTCTCCTGTTTTCTTGGATGGATATGGTTTGAAGGAGAAATGTCAATTGTTGCAATGGACCCTGTGCATATTCTCACAAGATTGAGGTTTTACAGCTAGTGTTGTACTTGCCAAGCAGGGGAACTTCTGACTTTGGCTTTAAAGGTAATTATCAAGCTGCTTTTCTACTTAAGGGAGGAGCTATGCATTTCCAGTATGAGATGGCTTTCATTTTCGATATCGAGGTGGACATTAAAGTTACTCGACATATAGCCTTTTGGGGTCACAAATGTGTTTGCTTTTACGTCGGCCAATATACAGGTTATCTGCACTGCAACCATTTCAACATTACTATTGTATAATGCTTCACATGAATACTTAGTCAGCTAAGTACACTGGCCAATTTCAACTTGAACTGTGAATTATGAAGGTACAGAACTGGGTTCCTGGGACTCGAAAGTCTTGAATCCAATCTAAAGACAGTGAAATGTCTTTCAAAAGCGAATGCAATATTCAGTACAATCCATTTTTATTTATATAGCAATAATGCACAGAACAACATAAAAATATTGACAATAATACAATACGAATTGTTGAATTATGATTGTAAATATTCTCAAATCTCAATCGTAATGTTTAAATACAGAATGACTTTTGATAACATCGGTCTATCATGATGGTGGACACATCACAACAGTGATGTGGTTTTAGTCGACACTATCAAGACTAGATATACGCCAGTGGAGCGTCCCTCTCAAATTTTATAGAAAATGCATCTTACATTGAAATTGCCTTTCGATGCAGAGACTGACTGGTAGCACATTTCCGCCTCCGTGTGGTCAAATCAGGTGTTGCGGAACAGAAGCGGTTGCAATCTCACTGAACGCGGGATTTTTAACTCGGACAAATTCGAAAATTTAAATCTGGACCATGCATTTAATAGAATTAGATTTGAAACCAAGAATCTGTGAGCGAGCGTGTTTGGAAATTTTACAAAGCTAAAAAAGGTGCATTGGCCACACAGGGATCTTGAGTTAGACATGCGCACTGGCACTTCCTCCTTTCGCTCGTGATATGGTCACGTGACGCGGTGACTAGTTTCAAGTTGTCAGAAGTTTTGTGTCTGTATATTCTCCTTTCTAAACTTACTGCTGCCATGGCAGAATTAACTTTTGTCATCGCCATGTCCACGATGACCTTATTTTGGGGCATAGTGGGAGGAGTGGTGCCCTGGTTTATCCCCAAAGGCCCGAACAGAGGGTGAGTGTGTTCACGTCACTTCACTAGCTCATTGCTAACTTCAAATTGAAGTAACGTTTATTTAGTATTGTGTGTGTAGGATCACAATTGAAAACGTGCAGTATTTAGTCTTGTACTCTGTATATGCTATTTAGTGGTGGATAAGCTTCCAATAACTTTTAGTAAGAGTCGGTGTTAGGCACTGGAGACTAAAAGACCAAGTTTCTCTTGCGTATCTCTTAAACCCCTCATGCTGTTTATTTTTTTTTTTTTTACGAATAGGTCAGCATTCCATTTTTTTAGGTTATGCCCTCTTACTTATTGGAAAAATAAAAACAACCCCTCTATGGAAAGACGATGCAACTTCCCATATGTATGTCTAGGATATTAATTGGAAACATATAAATAACCCCTCCATGGAAAAACGATGCAACTTCCCATGAGTATGTCTATTATATTAATACCTTGAGCTGTTTGTTCGGTGTCCTTAAATATTGTCTTTTCCCCACAGAGTGATAATCACAATGCTGGTGTTAACTTCTGTTTGCTGCTACTTGTTGTAAGTATTATTCGGCCTGTTTTGGAATTTAAACATGGCGAACACTATCTGTAATTACTCGGACTTTTTTACTTTGTACAATTATATACAGTACCTCGTGTCTTTAACTATTTCGCAAATATACTTCACAACAAACTACTTTGCTTAATACTGGAAAAAAGTGTCTACATAAGGGTAGATATTTCACGTTAGTTGTGGAATTGTGTGTGTTATATGCAAATGGTGGGGTTGTGAAAAGGCAGATCTGAATCAAATCTAAAACTCACAGGAGTTGTTTTTTTTTTTTTTATGAGGAATACAAAACGTCCATCTGTCCATTTTCCATAGTGCTTATTTATTACACCCAATCACAACTGACATTGGCTACAACCTGTACTGGTCACCCGAACACATGTAGACAAACAACCTTTCACAATGATGGACAATGTAATTTACTATTCAATTAAACTTGCATGTTTTTGGAGTGTGAATGGAAGCTGGAGACCATGTAGAAAACCTCATAAAAGTATGGGAAGAATATGGAAACGCTACACGATTCAAAAAGACTCAATAGTGGGAGGCAGACAATGTAAACCGTGCTGCCCTAATATAAGAAAGGTTTGTGTTGCTAAATTATTGACCATCAGTGTGGTTTGTGCTCTTGTTACATAATCACATGGACACAGGAGAGCAACACACAGGCCAGCGGTTGAGTTGTGAATGTCCACCCTTGATGAGCACTGGTCTTCATGTGTGTTCTTTTCTTCAGCTGGTTGATAGCCATTCTGGCCCAGCTGAACCCACTGTTTGGGCCGTCTCTGTCCACTGATGCCATCTGGTACCTGAACTACCACTGGTCTTAAATACTCAGGTAAAACACTTTTGGAATGTCAAGGCCAACATATTGCGCATTTTGTAATAGTTGTTGTACTGCTTAGTTCTTCAAATGACGTGCACTTTTTGCTCTGAATTCCTCTCAACACAGACAGCGCTACAACGTCTGGGACCACTTTCTCCTCACTTCATGCTGTTGTCCACAGTTCTGAAATGCCTTCAACTCTCATCCCTTTGGTTTTACAGACTGATGCTCAAACCCGTGCCTTGTATAGTCTCCAAAGGGCCTTTCTTAAAATTGATCCCCACTGAGTGTGCTTTAATGTAAAAATAAGCCTTAATAATGTTTGGTTTCTTTATGCTATTGTTTAGAGCTGATGTTAATATGAATAAACTTGCCATGAATGTTATTTGTTGTGCCTCATACTCTGTCCTTTATCCAGATCCCATTACCATTATTGTTTTGTCTAGATTGGCTGTCCTCAGAATACCATTCAATGAACTTCTTTTTTCATTTGGCGCTAATATTGATGTTATTTCGCTGGCCAATTAGACTACTGTGATTATTGTAATACGGTAATTGCAAATCCTAAATGTCATATGTTCACTTTTGAGAGCGAGAGAGAGAGAGAGAGAGAGAGAGAGAGAGACAGAGTATTTGTAGGTATATAGATAATACAGCTTAAAGCTTTATTTTCTTACGTTTCACTTGTTTTTGCTCGACTAACTTGACCGATGACACTAAAGAAATAACCGAAAAAGATAAATTTATTTACACTGCATTCGGGGTTACGTTGTATGTTCTCTCGAGACGAAAAGCGAGAATAAGATTGTCCTTCGTCGTTGCCGTACTAAGTCACGTGACGTTTCAACATGGCGTCTCACGACGTCCACGTCCGAATATGCGAGCAAGAAATATTAAAATATGACCTGGAAGTCAAGGCTCTCATTCAGGTGCGAATTTTGAGTTAGCGTTATTAATTGGGGTCGTGTCAGAATATGGTTGGTCTCTGATCTTTTCATTTCAGGGAAATGTTTTTGTGAAGTAATATTGTGCGACTGTATGATGACGAGTTAACTACGTGGGGGGAAAAGCATATATAATGTGGACAACTACCTATTATTTCAACTGTAAAGGGCTTTGTTTTTTTTAATTGGGAATTATTTCTGCTTTTAGTTTCGTGAAACAGCTCATCTAAATCGACAGCGACAACGAAATATTCCAGAACGATTAAAACGTTCCCTATAAATTGTACCAGTAATCTTATGATCCTGTTATTATAAATTAATTGGTTGCCCCAGCTTGATAACATTCAAAGAGGAATGAATGGGATGTGTGATATTCGGCAGTTCTGAGGCTGTTCGAATTTCGACACCGGCTTTACTGTGTGAGTTTTGCATGTTCTCCCCCCATACAACTTGTGTGGGTTTAACTTAAACGAGAACGCTAAATTCTCCATAGGTGGTAGTGAGAGTGTGAACGGTTGTTTGATCGGATGTGCCGACTCATCTGTGCAGGTTGCCCTTGACACATTGCCTCGATTGTGGCCTTATAACTTATCCCCTCATAAACTGCTGAGAAAATTTACTTGAAGTTTTTTACTTTGAAGCGTTTGAGCGAATGTGGGGCTGAGAGAGGGCAGGGCAGCATGAGCTACGCCACGGGGTCAGAAGCGCCATAAAAGGGCATGCAAATCAGGAATTTAACTCCCACACGCACGAGTTTACTGTCATTAAAACAATTAGGTTATTTTTTCACATGTTGTTGCAGGAAAGAAAATGGAACGATGGATGCCTGGGATCGATCTATCCCTTACTGTTATTTAATAATGAACCCTTGTCCGCTGTTCTATTATAGCATGAGGCTGTATTCTTTTGCTGACAACAAAATGCCATTTGTCACGTTCTACCAGGATATTAACGAGTGCAGAGGTCCTCAAAGCAAGTTGACAGAACTCAACGCCGACGTGAAGAAGAGTTTTCACAATCTACGATTGCGCATACAAGTGAGAAGTTCATAAAACACACACTATTTGCATGTTCCATGTCATTATGTTTCATTGTCTCCGTGGCAGGATTTAGAGCAGATGGCGATGGAGCAGGACAAAGAGTCCGACAAGCTGGCCTTGATCAGTCAGGTAGAAGGACACAGGAAACAGATGCTGAGGTAACGTTTTTGTCCAACTGAAATATCTATCCAGGCTATTGTTGAATTACCACACACTACTGCCACATTGCAAAAATATGAATGGTAAGTTAAATGAAGGCACTAAATTGTCCAAGCATGCGTGTGAGTGGAAATGCTTGTTATCCTATGTGTGCCCTGCTGGCGACCAGTCCAGGGTGCACCGTGTTTCTTAGATAGGCATCAGCTCACGTGCATCCCTAATGGGAACAATCCATCCATCCATTTTCTAATCCGCTTATCCTCACAAGTGTCGCGGAAGGTGCTGGAGCCTATCCCAGCTGTTTTTGGGCAGTAGGTGGGGGACACCCCGAACTGGTTGCCAGCCAATTGCAGGGCACACAGAGAGGAACAGCCATCCGGGCTCACATTCACACCTAGGGACAATTTAGAGTGTTCAATCAGCCTGCCATGCATGTTTTTGGAGTGTGGGAGGAAACCAGAGTACCCGGAAAAAACCCACGCAGGCACGGGGAGAACATGCAAACTCCACACATGAAGGCCAGAGCCGAAACATGCACCTCTGCACTGTGAGGCCAATGTGCTAAACCAGTCGACCATTGGGCCACCCTGTTATTATTATTAGTAATTTTTATTATTAAGGAAAAGAGTATATGCATAGGGGCAATCACTACAGAAAATTAAAGAATGGAATTTTTATCACTTTTCTGCCCCAGTGCAAACCTTCCAATGGCCATGTCCTGAAAGAACTTTGGTGTGTGCGTTTTTTTTTTTTTTTGGCAGCAATCAGACTACCTGGAGGAAGTCCAACCTGGCCAGCAAATTGTCAATAGACAATATGGAGAAGCAGGCGCTGCTTAATGGAGCTGATAGTGGAGTAAGACAGAGGTGAGGGGACAGTGTGTCACTTTCAGAAAACCTATCGGAGTCGGGTTTCAGCTGGAGCACATTGAAACTCGTACAGCGGCACCACAATCCATTCCACCGACTGAGCTCCAGTTTGTTGCTCGTCAACACCAAATTTGTGTCACAGCAATTAATGGACTTCAAATGGGTCTTTTTATACTGCACAGACAGTGTTTGAAGTATTATTTCAACAGTCTGTCATATTGGTGTAGAAATAAGTTTGACACTCCGTCATGAGAGAAAATAACAGTAAAACAAAATGACTGACCTTTGAGGACATGTGATGTAGGTTTTGTGTCCATGCATGTGAAGAAGGCATAACAAAGCAACGTTTTTTTTTTTTTTTTAAGTCATTCACTGTCAGATAAATGGAAAAAAGTTTACAGTTGTATAATGGCTTCTTACTGTTCGAGCGAATCTCTTCGCATTAAAATGGTGCCGTCTACATTCCGTTGTTCGTTTGTTTATCTAAATACTGGAGGGTCCTCGGTTTGTGAGGGTTCTGTTTTTATTTCTTTGTTTTGCACTTATGGATTCGAAGTGTTTTTTTTTTTTCAAACAAATACTGCATTTACGGTCATTATGATGTTTAATGCATTGGCCTACGTTCAAATCATGGTTTCACGGACACAATTTCCTTTTCTTATCGTATTATTCAGGAAGACCACCAAAGAAGGTCTGGCCCAGACATCCACAGACATTACAAAAAATCTGATGAGCATCAGTCGAATGATGGCCCAACAGGTTAATCAGAGCGAGGAGACGATCACGACACTAGGTTGGACTGAGTTTATTTGTATTTTTTTTTCTGGTTAATGATGTGTATTAAGTATCGAATTCCTGGACTTTGAGCCAATTGGTTTGCATTGTATTCAAATATTCGCTTCTGCCGTTTCTAGCAACTTCATCCAGGACCATCCAAGAGACCAACGATGAATTTAAAACCATGACTGGGACCATTCAACTGGGGAGGAAACTCATTACCAAGTACAACCGCAGGGAGCTGACTGATAAACTGCTCATCTTCCTCGCGCTGGCCCTCTTCCTCGCCACAGTGCTCTACATACTCAAGAAAAGACTCTTTCCTTTCTTTTGAGCTGTACGCGCCATGAAGGCATTCAATACTTCTCCCCAAGTGAGCACAAAACAATTTCCAACATGCTGCGTGCTGCGTTACCTCGCCGCAGCAAAAAAGGGTGAACTTGTTGCCTAATGTGCATCTTAACCCATAAGAGCCCACGGTGACACCAGTGTAACAAACAGTTTGAACTCCCCAGTATCTTTTTTCAAAACTTTTTGTCTGATTTTAACCCATCAAAACCTTTTGGAAAAATGGGTCTGGGCTCTTATGGGTTAAGCTTCTGTATGTGCAATCTGTTCTCTCAAGTCGTGCCAACATAAACCACTGGTGGTACAAAATCCACAACTGTACTTGAAAGCTAACGAAAGATTCATAAAATACGGGAAATGAAAACAAGAATAACCCTAACGTTATCAATTGTTTGAAAAATGAATCATTCAAAAAGTAACACCGATTTCCGAGCCATGATGTTCATGCGACAGCGAAGATCCTTCAGTTTCTCTCTTTCATGGGTCTTGTTGAAATTTCAAACACAATCTTCCTCCTGTTGCACTGCATGGCTCACATTGCACCTGTTACTCCAGCAAATTGAAAAAGCGCACATATCTTTGTCTCCGTGAGCGTACGTGAATGGCCGAGACAGAGCAGCACACATCCCTGTCTTTCTTCAGATAAGATCCGGAAAAGTAAACTCTGTCCTGACCGTTTTTCCCCTCTCCAATGTGGCTAGAGGGTGATGGTGGAAGATATTTTTGGTGTGTGGGGATTTGTTATCTGACGTTGCCTTTTCACCACCTCGTAGGAGAGCGTGTCCAGAGGAGCTGTGTGACCTCGTCGCAGCAGGCTCACATTGCCGTCATTTGAGATTTACTCGTATTTATTTGAGAGATAGTCACTCTGTATATGGACGGTCGAGATGTGTCATGGAGTTATTGAATGTGGGAAGATACACAAAGGAGGCGACTAAGTGTCATTCAGTGATGTAAAGTGGAAGCAGTTGGTTTCCCTGCGTCTTCCAACATGTTCCTATAAAGGTTCACTTTGACAGAGCATCTGGTTGTCTGAACTGTTTTTCTTACAAGATAGTGCTGAGAGTGAGAAAGAAACGCCGAACCAATCTAAAAAAGGGCAACTTATTGGCATTTCCGGAATGAGCAAAGACAAATACTTTTTCCAAGAATTACATGACTAACTTTTCTTAAACCTCATCTGAGTGAGGTTTTAACTTTTATTGCACTGCAACTCTATAATGCGTTTTTGTATAAAAGCTGTTACATTTTCATATGATCCTATTTAAATCTTACCCCCTCACAATTAAAATCTTGTGCCGTTAGGTACAATACATATTTTACATCTTTACTAGAGCTGTCCAGAAAGAACTTGAATCACGTTTTAGGTTTTGCTTTTTGTAGTTTTTGGGATAAGAGAGTCAAAGTCTGTCCTTTATGAAAGTACGACTCAAGGACATGTAGTGTACAGCCACGCATCCCTGCACCGGCTGCAGCCATTCAACAAGTTGAGTGAGTGTACATGTGGCTGACAGCAGGCTGTAAAATATGTAAACTACGAACAACCTTTTAACCTTATTTAAGCACATTGAATGAAGCCTCATAATAGCCACTTGAACATTTTAACTCGACACAAGCCATGTGTATGAAGGCTGAGCGTGGACACTTCCTTCTTAGTCCAATGGATGGATCCTTTTGTCTTGACATACAAGTGATTTTTTTTTTCAAGAGTAATTTTATAATCCGCCTAGCAGGAAAAAAAAATGACAATACCTTGAATGGGATATTACGCCCATCATAGCACTGAGACCAACGTACGACATTAAAACCAGCTGGGATGTGTTTCTAATATTTTAGTTGCCTCATTTTACTTCATGGGAGAGTCAATTGCTGTTTGTTTGATAAAGTGCAGTTCGACACCTCTACGCAATAATAAGCAGCACGTGGCTTATCGGTTCACTTATTTCTTCCTTTGAATATTTTTACACAGCACGATCGAAAAACGTGTCAGATCGACAAGTATCACATTTGTGTGCTTTGTATTTCATTTTATTAATTTATCATTAAGGTTTGCTCTCATGCCACAACAACCCACGCCAATATCTTGTGTCACAAACAGGCATCGTTAAATATCCAAACAAATGAAAGAAAACGTTTCGACCCACGACTAATAATACTACTGCATGCCTTCTGTAGGTATAAACCAATTACCAAGTCCTAATGCCGTGTAGCGAGGTTCCGCTGTTGGACGTGGGGAAGGTGGGTTGCACGTTGTTGAGCTCCCCGTGCACGCCGAAGTTCACGTAATTCCCGTTACTGGACGATCCCGTTTGCATGGCGGCTGCCGGATAATTGCACGCATAGTTTGTGCCGCAGGCGCTGTTGGCGTAGCCGCTAAACTGCGGGTAGTTGTTGTAGGCGAAGTGGTTGACGTGAGCCACGCAGTAGGGCGGGTTGCACGGACTCGCCTCGGCCGCTACGCAAGGTTTGCCGTCCCGCACCAGCACCGGGACCGACACCCTCCTGGGGGGCGGCGGGAGGGACACCATTTCCAGGCTCTGATCCTGCCTCTGCCGCTTGCACTTGTATCTTCGGTTCTGGAACCAGATCTTCACCTGCGTCGGGGTGAGCTTGAGGACCCCCGCCAGGTGGTCTCTCTCCGGGGCGGACAGGTACCTCTGCTGCTTGAAGCGGCGCTCCAGCTCGTACACCTGCGCCTGGGAGAAGAGGATCCGCGGCTTACGGCGTCTGCGGCCCTTCGGTCGGTTCGGATCGTCGGGTTTCGTGCCCTCTGCGGCTTCGGCGGGAGGACTCAACTCCTCTGATTAGAAAAGAACACACACAAAAAGAAGCCCGTTCGTTGATAGTAATAATAATAATAAGAAGAAGAAAAGGTAGAAAAAGAATGATAATGACAAAATAAGCGGTTCAAAAGGATGGGATGGACAGATGGACGGATGGATGAATGGATGGATGGATCGATCGATAAGAAGAATTGCACATAACCTGTATTTTTGTGGATTACCATCCATTGTCTGCATAGATGAAAAAAATCAAACAAATACATGGGAAAATATCGGCCAAAAAAGTATTGGATGACAAAAAATAGAAAATAATTTTAAATATAATTAGTCTGTTTTGTAACGTTTTTCACCAGCAATTGCTGCGATTTTCGGCTTGTCCTACAAAATGTATGACATGAAAAGTGTTCATGTTTATTATTATTATTATTATTATTATTATTATTATTATTATTAATAATAATAATAATAATAAAATTTTTTTGTTGTTGTTGTTAACATTACCATTATGATCCAGATCTGGAAGAAAAACGAGACCATGCATTGCAAGTTTAAACATTGGGCTAAAAGTAGAGAAATGTTTGGAGCCAATGCTGCTTGCTGTGCTTATGTCATTGTCGTTTACAAAAAAAAAAAAAAAAGACCTTGTCTTACCACGAGAGGTCTTTTTTCATTTCAAAGATTTGTTGGCATCAAATGCTAATTTTGTAGAGGTCTCTTTTTTTCCCACGGAACTGCATGTTGTAGCAAATTTGTTGAACAAGTTCAGCGGGTTCAGGTTACTTTATTGGTGTAAGGGTTCCACTAAACATTAGATTCAGAGGATTGTCACTATGCTGTGTATTTTTTCTTTACGTTTTTATGACGTTGTCTTGACTTTCATAGTATTGAATTGCACTTTTTGTGAAAAGTCACCTACATTTGACCTCTTGCATTATTCACTTACTCGTAGCCAAGAATCTTGAAAAAAACATGAGATGTTTTATACTAAGCTACGCTTTGTTTAATTTGTGCAACATATCCTTGTTTTTTTGTTTTTTGTTTTGTTTTGTTTTTAATCACGAACTCACCTTTTGCATGTTTGTCACCGAACAGGCCTGACGCTCCCTCCTTCACTCCGTCCATCTGCGTCAGTGGTTTTCCGTAAACGGCCGCAGTGAATTTGGGGTCCTGATGGTGGAGATCCTCGTCAAACAGCGGGACCCCCGTGGACATGTCCCGCAGAGGCTCGTGCTTGAGACGGCCCAGCAAACAGCAGGAGGAGGTTGGGGTGGAGGTGGTGGTGGGCGCGCTGCAGCAATCCATGCGAGAAGAAAGCTCCAAAGAAGACATGAGTTCATGGCTGTGCTCCAGGTTTAATATATCCTTGACAGAGAATGGAGTGGACGTGCTGGGGCT